ATATAAACGAACAAAATGTAAAAAAAAATTAAATAATATATTCGAAAAAATGTCAAATAAAATCTAAATAATAAAAAAATCCGAATTAATAAAATAAAGTGTACGTGAAAAAATATAAAAAAAAATAAACAATTATATATATATATATATATATATATATATATATATATATATATATATAAGAAAAATAAAAATATAAATGTAAGGGTAAGATGTTCTTTTTAAATGGACTAAGGATGTTCAATTTCTTAAACCATAGAGATGCATCTCGTCAAAATTTTAGAGGTTGAACTGAAAGTGTGAATCTGACCAAAGCACAGAAGATCAAACTGTAATTTACTCGTGGAATAATCTAAAAAATTGATGGGTAATCAATGCTAAACTATTTTTTTTTTTTTTTTGGAATATAAGTGATATGTTGGTAACCCATGACAAATATGTGTATATTTGGTTGATTTGAAATTCATGGTAAAAATTTTTGTATTGGATTGTTGACAAATTTGTCACTTGATTTGAAAAAAAAAATGTCGGTAAACATGTAGGAAAAGTTTACCCACGAATTTGGGCATATGGGAAGTATGTTGCTAAATCATCCACAAATCAATTTGTTGTCACTAGTAATTCCTTTTGTAGTAGTGTTCTAATGGTCGCACATGTGTGTAATTCAGATTATATAACTTTCGTCCTTAATCTCTTAGGTTGGTATGGTATAACCTTCAATTCTCATTACTCCCTTTTTTGATGTTGTCATGTGTTCGACAATATAGGCTATTTGAAGATTTCGAAACAATAAGGTGTTCAATCGCTAAATCAAATTAAAATGCCTTTATGAAATACAAGTAATGTTATTTCTTTTTATCAGTAGCCTATGTAAAAGAAAGGAGATTTATTAGTCTCTTTGGAGTCGTAATATGGTATTGGCTAGTACACTTTAATCCATACATCTAGTATCTATCGGCGGATCGTAAAATAATTGTCGTTCATAAAAAAACGCATTGTTTATATAGGTACTTAGTATGCCAATTCCTCCACCCATTTTTTCCATGTCTTTGGTAACTCTTTGGATTTTGTGTCAAAAACCAAATATTCTAAGGGTTCATGTTATTTTTTATAGTAAATGTCAATAATCCCTAAATATTAATGTTTTTGTAATTGTTAATCAAAAGTCAAACAATAGTTTGAGATACTACAAATTAAGTGTCAACATATTTTACACATGTAATAACACATTTTTATGTGTAGTGACTTACTAGTATGATAATGGAAAAGCGATTTAGGAGGGTAATGAATTACTAATTTTCACATTATGCCCATTTCTATTTGTTATACACTATATACCATACACATGTTCACATATTACCCTTGCAATACTCAGGAGGGTAATATGTTGCAAGGGTAATATATGAACAAGTTCAACAAGTTTAATAATATATAGATTATAGTGTACAAAAGAAAATGACTAAATATAAACAAATAAAGAACCCCCTACCACCTCCACTTTTGATTTCGCCGCCACTACCTCCACCACCACCACTATCTCCATACTGGCCCTGTCTTCATCACCGCCACTGCCACCTCCACTTTTATACACCACCACTACGATGCAGTGATGGAGGTGGTGGTGGTGACAAAGGCGAAGATGGTGGTGGTCGTGATGGAGGTCATGACGGTGGCAGTGACAATGGTGAACGTAGAGGTGGCAATGACAGTTTTTTTCACGGTTTTTTGGTGTAGTCATAGCCTATTTTTGTACTAGTAGTTGTGGTGGGAGGTTCTTTTTTTGCTCACGTTTAATCATTTTTTATTGTATATTATATATTATCTAACTTGTTTAAATTGTTCACATATAAAATCGACCGAATGGATTGGACAAGTTGGACACATAAAAATTTGAGGCTGAATTTTAAAACTGATTTATATATTTAAATAATATATATATATATATATATATATATATATATATATATATATATATATATATATATATATATATATATATATATATATATATATATAAAAGAATGCAAAGATGTAATCAAATTATTTCTAGATTACATGTTAAAGTGGCGGGCCTTTGTATAAGCACCCGTTGTTCTAATCTTAGAAATCACATTCTTTTTTCTTCATTAGATTGGTTGCATCTGCCATCTATTCGATATGAATTTTATAGTTAAGTTGTGTTTGATACATCATAGCTAGCTGATAAGTTATTTTATTTTTTGAGTTTTTTTTTTTAAATTGTCATGTTTGACAAATCAAAAAATAGTTTAAAATAGTTTGACAAATCAAAAAATAGTTAAATTGTGTTTGATACATCATAGCTAGCTGATAAGTTATTTTATTTTTTGAGTTTTTTTTTTTTAAATTGTCATGTTTGACAAATCAAAAAATAGTTTAAAAGCTAGCAAAAAAAAAAACTAGTTTATAAGCTGTTTTTTTAAAAAGCTATTTAAACTACATTTTCATAAGTTTTAATTTTTTTTGTTCAAATATACCTTTAATTAATTATAAAAATCATATTTTTCTAAATGTTTTTTTATGTTATTTTATATTTTGCAGCTAACTTATCAGCTAGTTTTTACTAAATGTAATTTTTTATCAGCTACATTTTCAACTAAGAACTAATAAACAGTTTTTCAGCTATCAATTAGTTTTTAATAAACTTTAGTGTTTTTCCATTTCAAATCAAAATTCACATCTTTTATCCCTAGACTTTCCAACGTGTTCCATATTCTACCATGCTTTTCATTTTCTTTAGTTATGTAAAACTTTATGAAAACCCACATTTACCTCCCTTCAATTTCGTTTTATGGCATTTAACCCCTTCAAATTAATTCAAATTGTCAAATAAACTCTTAGAATACCTTAATTTATCATAATAATCACAGTTAAGAAATTTTAGTTATTTACAATTACATGTAACATTTAATGGAACATTTTATTCTCTTTAATACTAGTACATCGAATATGAATTTAAGGATGCTATAATTCTTTTTCATTTAGGATGATTACATCATTGAAATCTATGTATTTCAGTTAAATATGGATATTATTCTCATATATTTTTCCCCATCTGTACCTCATTTTTATTTGTAAACATAAAGACATTTGTAAATAGTACTTAAGATTACCTATTAAAGTCATATGTTTTTATAATATCAAGTCATGTATACCATTTCTTAATGCAAATTCTCTCCTAAAATTATTTTTATGATTTTATGTGGTTTAAATCATCTACAATGGGGAGTTTAATGGAAGAGTTGAATGAGGTATCATGCCTACTTGTCATTCAATTCAATGGATATAACTTCATTATTATGAAATGTCACATTGACATTCAATGGATTTGGAGTTCAATGGTCATTGAACTTTTCAATGGGAAAAATGAAAGTCTTTAAATCTTTAAATAAATATTTTTTTTAATATGTTACAATGAACCTAAAGAGTATAACGTATTGTGGGATAAAAATAAATAGAATGGTATGGAATAGTGAATGATAATGTGACACTTCATTAAACTCTGTAGAATTCAATGCATTGTGGATGTCCTTAGTTGGATAGATATTTTAATTCATTATTAACATGTTCGGATTCAAGTTTATCATTAGGATTTGTTTTACAAAAGTTTAATTTAAATTTTGTTGAATTCGTTTATATATAAGAATTTTTAGTCTTTTATATATATATATATATATATATATATATATATATATATATATATATATATATATATATATATATATATATATAAAAGACTAAAAATTCTTTATCAAATATGACTTAAATTTAGTGATCAAACGAATTTCTAATAATTCAAGGGCCTTTATTTTATTTTTGCCCCGGATCCTAAATATTTTTGAGCCAACCCTCTTCATATATTATCATTTTACCTACAATAATAGGTCGTAAGGGTAATATGTGAACAAATTCAATAAATTGGATGACATATATGATGTACACAAAAAAGGATGACATATATGATGTACACAAAAAAAAAAGACTAAATGTGAATAAATCAACAGTTCATTATCCTCGCGAGTCATTTTCCTATGATAATACAACGATTATTCTTGTGTAAGGAATTAGATGTGTATGTCACTAAAAGATACTTTTAGTAATTTCTGCTCCAGCAATGGAATAGTGGTCTTATCAATTGTGGCTGAGTTTGTACCAAAGAATCTTGATTTAAGTGGTAAGAAGTGTCTATATGACTACCTTATTCAAGATTTTTGGGTTGTGGTTGATGGTTGATGCTTGGAGGCATTTCCTGCCAAGTAGCTTTCTAGTTATCATCCATTTTAGATGTGAAGATATGGATAAGAAATGACTTCATGGGTTCTTTCCCTATCTCCTAATGTTTGGAACATGTCTCAGTAGGCTTATAGAATAATGATACTAGCCACCATTAGGGCCTTAAGGAATGATGTTTTATGGAAGTTGTTTTTTGAAGGCAGTTATTGCCTTCAACAATTTGTACATCCAACTCATAACTCATAGAACGTAGGTTTGTTTTCCAATTTCTTGGTACCTCGAGGAACGATCAAAAACTAAAGAGGTAATCGTTCATCTGATCAGATGGTGGTTGCACCTCCCAAACCTGAAGCGAGTCGATTCCATCGATGATTTGATCATGTTTGAGGACTCAAATAGAAGGTCAGAGGTGGAGGCGATAAAATATCGAAACTTTCATTAGAGCTTTCTTGTGGGAGATTTAATTGGTCATATAGAAATGAATTATGTTTTAAAAATACTTATAAAAACATAGCTCAATTAGTGTATGAGGTGGTGTTTTTTTTTTGTTGTCCGCCTAGCGCTTCGCTAAGAGTGCTTTTTATAAAAGTTGCACTGTTCAAAAGAAAAATGTTTCGTAAAGGCAATGGGACGACTGAAATAATATGCTGTAAACAAAAAACAACTTTGTTTTAGGACTAGAAAAGTTTGGGAGGAATTGACACATTGTGAGTCGTATTAATTTAACGGCTATAAATCAACAATGAAATGCCATTAATTGCAAAAACACCATCTAATATACTTGATACGTAGAATTATCTTTTGTTAAAAACCATCTGTTTTTCCAAATTCTTGCACCATATAGTGTAGTTAATGATCTAAAAAATTAATCACTCAAAGACAAAGTCAGAATCTACTACTCATACGAACAACAGACACCCTACTAAGTCACATCACGAAATTGGAGTTCTATAAGCAAATTATGTTTACATCCTCTCATGCAAGTTAGGCTGCATTGGCTGAACCCGAAAGGAGAATGGCTCTTGATTAGCTTGATAATCTTCCATGGGCCATCTCACCTTGTTGCTGCATGTTTATGTATCACAAATATATATATCAGCCTGACAGTTAGATATATATAAATTGTATGCTTTAATCTAACCCTTAACTTGTGTAACATCCAACAATTTATTAGAAATATGCCAATCGTTTTATCTCCTTTTACATTTCATCCATCCAATTCAACTTATATAATTTCCATTATTCCATGAAATTAGATCTCCTTTTGTATCATTTTCATCCTATGAAAAAGGCATCTTCTTTATCTAACCATTTTAACCTGAAAATTACTCGCCCTTAAGTAATATTTATACTGAATAACGAGATTATATATCATGTAAACTGAGTTTTACCATCTACTGTAAATAACTTCTAGGCCTGAATGATAGATTTGTGAAGAACACTTACCACCAAATACATGAGATGCTTATTCTCCTCCTCCAGAACTTGTTCCTATTTCAAAAACACATACACAAGTTTAGCATGCTCACAATTAATTAAACATTGGTGAACAAAAAGAAGATCTAGGAAATATACATGCTTCCTCATTATTTTAGGGATTTCATCCTGTTCAAAATTGCAAGAAATGTGGTCAGCATTTCAGATATACTTAATTTCTTAAAACACCAATATATGTATCTATTGAATATTTGCTTGCCTTTTTCTCACGAATGCTTGTGAGTCCATTTTCAAGTGCATCTTCATACGCAATTAGTTCTTCATAGTTCAAAGATGATATGTCTTCCCCTCCCAAGTGCCTAAAATTAAATATATACTAGCTCATACACATCAACAACAAAACGAGAGAGAGAGAGAGAGAGAGAGAGAGAGAGAGAGAGAGAGAGAGGAGAGAGAGAGAGAGAGAGAGAGAAAGGTTACCTAAGCTCAATTTGCATGTTCTCGTTCTCTTTCTTGATTCTATCAATTTCACTCTGCAGATTCTGATGGGAGGGAGTAGGAAGTTCCAACATAATCAAGAGAAAATATCAATTAATCATCACAATGATATAATTAGTAAGGCATATGTACATGTCTACTAGCGTCTACTTAGTGTTTTTATAAAATTCCTACCGAAGAAAAAAAAAAACTAATCATATGTTTTCCTTCGAATATATTTCTACCCATGCATAAAATTAGTGCTCCATTACTAGGTTTGTGCAAGACAAGTCTAGAGAGAGAAAACCAGTTTCTACCAGATCTGGTGATGGATGTAACATCTCATATAGTATTAGTGAGTCAAAGTGCTGGATCCTATCCTATATGTAGATCTGGTCATAGAATTCGTATATCCGGTTACTTAGCATAATTTTAGCAAAGAAAGATCTTCAAATAAACAGATATTTCAAGAAAAGTTAATGGAGAGAGAGAGAGAGAGAGAGAGAGAGAGAGAGAGAGAGAGAGAGAGAGAGAGAGAGAGAGAGAGAGAGAGAGAGAGAGAGAGAGAGAGAGAGAGAGAGAGAGATCTACATACCTCATGTTTAGCATCCCACAACTTATTTCCAGAAAGCCTTTGATATCGATCCAGCATGTCAATCAAGCTTCCATTACACAAAATGAATAATTAAAAATAATAATTTAATATCAACCCATGACAAGAAATCGGATAGAAACCAAGTCATAGTAGAAAACCAGGAACAAGTCAAAAGAAAGAAAACCCTAAATAGAAGAGGAAAAAAAGATGGTCAAGTTCAGGAGGCACATACTCCGTTTTGGGGCTACAGTACTCATGCATCTTGCCAGAAGAGCCATAGATAACAAGAGAGACATTAGCATCACAAAGAACAGTGATTTCTTTAGCTTTCTTGATGATTCCATTCTTTCTCTTCGAGTAGGTGACTTGCCTGTTACTTGAGTTCTCTATCCTCTTGATCTCTGTCTTTCCTCTACCCATTCTCTCTCAAACTGCTTTCTGATACGAATGGAAAGATTTTATGAAGTATAATCGAGAGAGAGAGAGAGAGAGAGAGAGAGAGAGAGAGAGAGAGTTCTGGTAATGGGTGGAAGACAAGAGACTTTCAAAATGGTCAGCAAGAGTGTATTTGTTTGTGGGTCTTTGACATGGCCAACCCAACTGCATCTTACCTCTTGTACTTATCACTTCCCTAGACTCATCATTCTATTACCCTTTGGGAAATTTACTCTTCCGCAATCCCTCTCAGAATTACATCTTCACAGTTAAATTAATTAATATAAATTGGCTTTCATTTGATGACTAACTTAACATGTCTAAGACTCAAGAAGGAAAGAGAACTAGGGATGGAAATATATTGGTTCCGGTCTGTCCACATTGACACTTAATGGTTTGTGAGGTGTATATAGTCAACGAATATAAGCGTGGCATATATACATATATGCATACATTATCTTCGTACCATCAAATCAAAATCAAAGTCTTGCTAAACTTAAAGTACGTATATACTCACCGTCCATGTATATTAAAGATGATATCATAATGTCGCTACATTAAAAATAATTTCATCATTTCGAAAATGTGAAAAGAAGATCATAATTTAAAAAGCAACGATATTAGACTAATTTAAATTAAATAGCTAGCATTAAGATAGCAACACCATAGTTATGTAACTATTTAAATTCTTGAAATTATGTCCGTTTAAATAGAGATGTAAAATTTTAAACAATTTTGATATTACTATAATCCCTTTCACATATTATAATTAGATTTTGTTGTTTTAGTTACAACCATCCATCACTTCTCATCAGTGGTCGAAATTTGTTCCTATCGTTCTCACATAACTTGAATTCTTATATATATATATATATATATATATATATATATATATATATATATATATATATATATATATATATATATATATATATATATATATATATATGATTTTTAGTAATAAAAAAAGACAATATAATCAATTGGAATATGAAAAATATGATTTTTAGTGGTGTGGTGAAACCAATAAATATACTCGTAGTTTACCAAATTGTAGGGGCAATATGGTTACTTTAGGCATAAAAAGAACAATATAGCCATTGGATTATTGTAAAAGAATTATAAAAAGGGTGATTATTAGTTTATTACAAGAGAAAACGAAAATGGAAAATATATTATTTTAAAAATAAGAGTGAGCAATGTAAAAAAAAAAAATTGCCTTTTATTGCATATTTCCACAAGATAAATAAATTAGGGGATAGTATTGCAATTCAAAATAATTTAGACAATCATTTTGCTTTAAACTTTTGAGATATACTATAAGGATCGAGCCCTATGGAGACGACACTTATCCAAACGACATATGTCGTTGTCAAAAGTCACACTATACCGACGACATGTCATCGATAAAACGTTTTGCAACTCTGACCATATCTCTTTGACCAGAAACCCTATCCAGACGACAAGTCGCCGGTATAGACTCGACGAGAAGGGGAAAAATACTGGCGGTATGTCTAATACCTATGCAAAAGAAATGTAGTCTTTAGAATCGGAAAACCGGTTCGGAACCGGAACCGTTAGAATCGGAATATATAAAATCGGTTCCGGTTATGGGTTTAAAAATTGGCTTTATCCGGGTTCCGGGTAATCCAGGTTTGGGTTCATCGGATTCGGGTAAACCGAGTCTAAAAACCGGAACCGAAACCACTTTTAGGGTCAGAACAGGTTTTTGTGAAACATTTAAAAGATGCATATCTCATTCGTTTCAACTCCGATTGACATGCGGTTTGCAACATATAGTTTAGAGTTTATACATGATTTTAGACTATAAATTTGTCATTTTTAGTTTTATATTCATTGACTTACAGTCCCCAAAATCAATATATCAAAGGTGGAAGTTTTTAGTTTTTTTGTTTTTTTTTTTTTTGTATTCGGTGAAAGTTTTAATACATGTATATCTAATTCATTTGAAGTCGGATTGACATTTGGTTTTTTCCAACTTGTAGTTTACAGTTTGTACATAAGTTTAGACTATAATTTTGTTATTTTTGGTTTAATATTTAATGATTTATAGACCTCCGAAGTCGAGATATCAAAACTGAAAATTTTCAACTTTTTAACTATTTGTTTTTGTACTTTGTATTCTATGAAAATGTTAACACATGCATATCTCATTTGTTTAAAGTCATATTGACATGTGGTTTTTTCCAGAGTGTATTTTAGAGTTTGGACATGATTTTAAACTATAATTTTGTTAATTTTGGTTTCATATTCAATGAGTTACATCCCCCAAATTCGAGATATCAATATGAAAATTTTCAAAGTTCAACACACTAAGTAGTAAGCAATTACCAAAAAATTCCGATTTTTCCGATTCTAAACTCACTTTATCCGGTTGCAACCTACCCACTTTGATGTTTCCAGGTTTTCCGGTTCTAGACCCACTTTACCCGGAACCGGTTCCTACATACCAGTCTGGTTTTCGGTTCTTCAAAATCCCATTAACCGGTTTCGGGTCCATTCGGTCCAGGTTTGGACCCACTTTCATCCCTAGTCGTCTATGTAAGATATTAAAAAAATATTTTCGATTTATTTATATTCCTTGTTGCAGAAATTAAAGACGTTGTCGTTTTCGTCCACCTATCCCGATGACATGTTGTCGGTATAGGGTGTTAACAAAATAATTTCGATTTATTTTTAATCCATGTCGCAAAAAAAGGAAAATGATGTCATTTCGTACTCCTATACTGACGACTAGGGTTGTAAATGAACCGAACGAACACGAACGGAGCTTGTTCATGTTCGTTCGTTTAAGTTAGCCGAACAAATAAACGAACACGAATGGATAAACGAACGAGTTTTCTTGTTCATGTTCGTTCGTTTAACAAATTACATTGTTCATGTTCGTTCGTTTATGTTCGTGAACATGCTAAATGAACATAAACAAACAAACATAAATGAACATATATATATATATATATATATATATATATATATATATATATATATATATATATATATATATATATATATATATATATATATATAACATAATTGAAGATATATAAACATAAATGAACATATAATAAACTAATGTAATCAAACACAATTAGGTATATATAAACATAAAATGAACTTATATAAACGAACATAAACGAACGTAAACGAACAACATAAACGAACGTTCACGAACTTTAATGAACGAGACCATTGCTCATGTTCGTTCGTTTAACTAAACAAACGATAATTTGTGTTCATGTTTGTTCGTTTATTAAATAAATGAACATAAACGAACTTTCCGCCAAACGTTTCACGAACAGTTCGCTAAACGTTAGGTTCGTTTACAGCCCTACCGACAACTTGTCGTCTAGAAAAAGTGGGACCAATCTGCGTGAAACATTTGTCCAGAAGATATGTCGTTAGGAAAACTATTTTTTTTAATGACGTAAAGTGGGACAACATCGTTTTTCCTTTACCTATATTGCTGACTTGTCTTTGGTATTGGGTTTCCCTATAACAAAACTCGTATGAGCGTTCATTTTCCAGTCCCGCATTGCATCTCGTTTTTCCTCTCAACCTTCGGCGATGCAGGGCGATTTCCGATAATCCGCTTCATCGGCGACCTAAAGGTAAATTTCTTGGCCCTTGATTTCTTCTTAATTTGTTGTAGCATGAACTTTATTCCGATTTTGGATGATTTATTCTGTTGTTGGAGCCCTAAATTACAGCACTGTCAGCCGTCAACAAGCTTCACCACCGCCGGAGAAAACGATTTCCAGTTATTGTAAAAGAAAGGAGATTTATTAGTCTATTTGGAGTTGTAATATGGTATTGGCTAAGTCTATTCAATTTATTCATCAGTGTTGATACATGATTATAGTTATCATCATACATGATTTTAGTTAGCATCATACATGAATAAATCTTTATTTATTACAAGGTTTATGGTAAAAACTAAAAAAGTTTTTTCATTTCTCTACCATCAAAAGACAAACATACATTCATTTGTGAATCAGTGAATATGTATACACAACGTTATTATCTAATTTTTTTAAATTATCATTGAACTTGATTTTGCAAGTGTAAACCCAAAAATAACAATGATCACATGTGCTCCTCTTTGTTTTTGTGTGTGCTGGTAGCAACAAGAAGAATCGCAGCAAACTAGATTTTTTATCTTCTTCAGTCATTTGTGATTACAACTAAAGTAGATTTTTTTATCTTTACATTTTCCTTTATTCATTGATGGTTCCAGATGTATTGGTTTTCTATATTTGTAAATATAGTTTTATACATTTATCATTATGAATGAATTGAGTCTTTATTTTTAGTTTTTTTATGGATGGTGTTTTACACATTCCATATTATTGTTATATATAATCCTTCACAATTAACATAATCAAACCAAAGGGCTTCTGGCCCAGCGGTATCCGTTGTTGCCCTCCCTCCTTGAGGTCGAGGGTTCAAATCATGTGAGGTAGTGTAGGAGTAGATTAGATTTGTCGTTCCAAAAAAAAAAAACAAATAAAACTGTTGAAAAAAAATTAATTTAATGTATGTTTTCTTTAATTTATGAATACAAAACAAAACGTGTTTTTTTAATTTATAAATTAATAAAAAAAATGACTTTGTTAACAAAAAGTTAATAAAAATTATTTTCGTTATATATTAAAAAAAAATTAAAATAAAAATCCGTTAATCTATTATTTGAAGTAACAGTAATTAATATTGCTAAAATTTAGGAGATTAAGATTTGTTATAATTTAAATTAAATATGCAATTACTAATATATTCTTTTAAAATGATTGGTCCAGAAGTGTTCTCGCGTTTTCAACATTTTTAGTGTTCTCATTTTATCTTTTTCATATATATATATATATATATATATATATATATATATATATATATATATATATATATATATATATATATATATATATATATATATGCTTTACACATTATTGAAGCATTAGTTCATTATTTTAGTAATGCATGTATAATTGATACATACCCTGTATCAATTCACGGCTTTACAC